ATGCATATTAAGGAATGCAAAAAAAACGTGAAAGAGTCATTTCGTTGCGGAACGCCGAAAAGTCAACATCGTATGTATGTATTTTACGTAAATATTTATTAAATTATTTTACAGTAAAAGTCCTTATTATTATCTTATATAGAAACATTATTTGACTGACTCATAATATCGAATTAAATTGAAAATTAATTTCATATATTTTGTTATATGTTAAAAAACTTTATGATGAACACATTTAAATTAATTAATTGTCTTATTCATTGTATTATAAAGAGTCAATTAGTCAGTCAGTTTTCAATTATATCTTATTACTAACGCATTTTCTTTTATTTGGAATGTTTATAGAAAAACACATTTGAAATAATATATTAATATTGAATTAAGTTTTTAAGACTATTTTTATTAATAATGTTATATAAATAATACAGACTATTATTTTAATACAAAATGTCCTAATTAAAAGGTAAGTCATTTTATTCATATTTTTTATGGATACATGTGTATAATTTTCATTTTAAATGTTATCTCCCCGTCTAGGGCCGAGGACCTGACCTTCAATGTCCGCGATTCAAGCCCTAAATCGTGTATACGAGTCAGCTCCGTATACTTCCGGGAGATTAAAAATGAATTTCTAAATATAGAACGATGATGTCATTCTAAAAATAGAATCCAATATGGCGCCGCGCATGCGCAATCGTGGCGTTAAAGAGACCCCTATACTACTCATATGAGCACAGCCAATAGGAGCATTGCAGTTATTTGTTCACTTTGAAATTATATGACATGACTTCTGCATTAGACTGGCATATTGTATGGTCAATAGAAACTATTAAAACTGTGATATAAAAAAAATCAGAAGATTTCAAATAATGGCAACAGTAGGGATCGAACCACAGATCTATCATAGCAACCACTCTACCGACTGTGCTATTGCAGATGTGACGACGAATTAGATCTTTTTCTTTTTTATCAAACGGTGCTAAACATTTATTTATTTTTGTTTAACGAAAACTAAAAACTATATTTTCTCAGCTTACAAACATAAATCAATATTGTTGTCCTCTATGTTATATACCTATTTTTTTGTTTTGTGAAGGAATCACAGTGACCTATTTCTTTTATATGTTTACATATTTGATTTGCTCATGTTATGTATATTATACAAACTGAGTGTTATTGAAAATAAATTGAAATTGAAATTTAAATTTATAACTATAAACATTTAACCAGTGTGACACATTAGTTATAGTCTCCATTTTAATTCTCGTAGCTACACGGACAGAAGCGAAGTATGATCGAATATTAAAATGAGTGCTATAATGTATTCATAATTGGTCAATAAAATCAGACTATATAAGTTTGCAATATATGATTGCGTAATCGGAAGTAAAAGGTATTTGCATATTGTATAATTGAGCCGCGTCATGACAAAACCAACATAGTGGGTTTGCGACCAGCATGGATCCAGACCAGCCTGCGCATCTGCGCAGTCTGATCAGGATCCATGCTGTTCGCTACAAGTAGAGAAACTGAAAGCGAACAGCATGGATCCTGATCAGACTGCGCGGATGCGTAGGCTGGTCTGGATCCATGCTGGTCGCAAACGCACTGTGTTGGTTTTATCATGACGCGGCTCATATGTCTCGATAGATTTTGAAATTTGATGAAAGGGTATTTAAAAAATTAAAATGCATTAAAAACTGAAAGTGGAACAAATATCATGATGTAATTTATCCCAATATCAAATTTATTTACTTAATTGTTCGCAATGAATGGTTTCAAAAGTCAATTAAACAAACAAAATAGCAGTTATCGATGATATACGGTGGGTTAAAATCCGGCACAGCGATAGTATATAATAATATAACATGTTGATTTAGTGCTTGACCTAGCTATTGTCCTAGGATGATAATTTGGACTTAACGGTGCATGGGAAAGTCCACAAACGGGGTAATCTGGATTATTATCCGATATTGTAAAAGTAAACACTTACATATACTATAAAGCATTATTCTGACAGTATCGTTGGTGTATTACCGTTATAGCTCAGCCGGTTGATCGAAGTTATCGTAACTTTAAGTATTTTGTACTTTTAGTATTTTGTACTCATAGGTTCGAACCCCACGTAGTGCCATTTCATAACCACAATTTTTCTTCTTGCACTGTTTTTTTATCATTATTATTTTTTTATTTCGTTTTCCTTTTTGTTTATTCTTATAATATATATTTTATAGTATATACTCATTTTTTTATTTATATTTTTCTTTTTTTATATTTTGATCGCAGTGTGAAAAAATATTCGATCATATTCATGCATGTATATGAAAAGTGAAACAAAAACCGGTCAAACTTGTTTTCTGAACAATTGACTGTTCTGAGGTATAAAAAAAATGTGTCTTTCCTATAGTCGAACTTCTGCTCGTAGGGGTAACATTCCTGACACGTTTGCTCTACCTACTGCGCTAACAAGATATGTGGTAACAGGCAGTTTTATTTTCATCTTTATAGGTTATGGGATTGATCTGCCTTACCTATTTTTCGCATAGTTATTGGTCTTTGTTATGTAAACAAAGGCTCAAGTTATCATTGGAGAGGTCATCAGACCTCTCCATAGTGTTCAGACTGATTGCTGGCGGCATCCATTTTTGCGTATCTGATTGCAGTGAATGAATCTCATTTTAAGCGTAAAATCATTAGGAGCAGTCTACAAAAATTGTTTTGCGCATGCCCCGTTTCAAAACACGGCTTTACTTAAACGAAAAATTAACATCGAAGTGAACAAATCGGTACATAGAAAAATCGGAAAATATCATTTACGTTATTTAACACTACGTGCATGGATGCTTCATTCCGTAACTGTATAAATCGATTACCGTATTGTTTTCTGAATAACGTTTTACTATTTCATGTTCTGATAAATAGTTACAGTGAACATTATAGCTATGTACAATATCACCATGCACAATATATACCGCCTCCGTGGTCGAGGGGTTAGAGTCGATAACTTGTAATCCAGTAAACTCTCTGGCGTGGGTTCGATCCCCGGGAGATGCTTTTTTTTAGTTTAGCGCGAAGAAAGGTTGTCTAGTACTGGTGTAACTCTCCAGGAACGATGGTTAGGAAACTACCCGCCTATATGACTAAAATACTGTTGGGAAAAGGCGTACAATGAAACAAACAAACATATTATATGACCGAGTGAACCGTGTATTTAACCGTTATATCTAAATAACGCAAAAGGAGATTTTTTGGCGCAAATGGCACACATTTTATCTCAAGTTTGATTTTCTTTTAATATTGTGGTTGGAGGCATGCAGCTTTATATACTGTTTATTCCAATAAACAGTATATAACAGTATAACAGTATATAACAGTATTTACTGTTTATTGCAATCAAATGATATCAACATTTTTTATGTAAACTTGTTTGATTAACATACTTTATACTCGTTTTGGAAAATGTAGAGGAAATGCTTCCTTATATTTTACAAAACAGTGACCGAAAATTTGCTTATTGAACTTTACAAGAAACATTTATTTTGAAAATACTTTTAATATATATATAATTTTTCTACAAAGGTAACTGAATTTAAAATACATATGTAAATGGTATATATCATTTAATTTACATTAAGTAATTTTACAAAAAAAATTTGTAGAAAAAGTATCCCTAATGCGCCAAGAAAAAAGTACATTTCTCCGGCATATAATCTTTTAAAACAATAAAAAAGATGAAATGTGAAACAAACTTTCATTGCAATATATATAATAAATTATATTTTGTTTAATAATTCTAATTTATAAACATTCATTGTGTCTGTTATGCAAAATATCCCCAAATATTTTCGAATTAAACACATTTTCCACAGCAGCAAAAGGACCTCTCGCATGCTTCTTTTTAAAGAAGCATACTTGTCCTAGGACAGTATATAACAATATAAATGCGACTGATATTGATTCTAATGAAGAGATCATGGTAAAATATCATATAGAATATTTAGAAACAAAAATGGCAAAATTAATGTGAAATTAGTTTATGTCACACATTGGATATGTAATTGGTATATAAAAAAAAAATCAGAATCTTGAAATAACGAAACGTATAAACCTGTGTTTATACATGAAATACATCTCAAACAAACAAAATCTCGCCATATTCTTCTATAATAATATAAACTTATTGACCTGTCAATTTTGCATAGCGCGAATTTGAAAATCCGATTCTATTTTATTTACGAATTGTGATTTACTGTTAATAGTCCAGCAAATTGCATAATCCGTGACTAAATCATATCATAATGGGTAGCTCAGTGGATAAGGCCATGTATTTTAGAGGCATAGGTATTAGCTGTTGGATATAATAGTTTCTTAAATAAACTTAAAAATGGTAAATTTAAAGTCACCTGACCATACAACACTCAATTCATTTTAAAACTGAACCATAAAATCAACGCCACAGCTGTTCGTTACAGGAAATATAAATTAAGTAATGGAAGGGTTTATTTTGAAAAAGGCAAAACTAAAGAAGTACACGTATACCCTAAAAGTAACCCGTACATTAACTTCAATTTTGAAAATGCTTTAAAGTGTGTCAAGAGTACAGGTGCTTATATAACATACTTGATTTACATAAAAAATGCACGTATAATAGTACCTCAACACAAAAATACTGCCGAGTTATAGAATGATGTACGTGTATATCAATGTAGAAAACACTTCTGCTAACACCTGAATGTTTATTATTATACATGTTTTTTGTTCATTGACCGTATACTTTGTATACAATCTATAGATTACGAAAATCAAATTATAGATTCGGCCAGCAATGTCTGATATAGCGTACTGTACTGTACCTGTACTGTAAATGCATAATGTATAAAATATATCGTACAAATCAGAATTATGGCATACTTCAATCAAGTTTCATCAGTTTGTATTCTTTAGTATATATTTGTATTTACATTTTTAAAAACTTATATAATAGTTGAAAATTATATTACCTTGGTATTCAAAAAATTCCAAATCGTTCGTTAAATGTCCTTAAACATTACATGCCATACAGTGTGCTAGATCTTAACACTAGGCGTAAATCGATTTTTCTATTTTTAGCAACATTTATACATGACCAATAAAGAAAACTGCTGGAGCGAGAAGGTATGCACTATTCCTTGTTCATGTACATTTTAAAGCTACATGCCTCCAGATGAGTCAAAATATTTCAATAATATCAAACTTAAGAAAAATGCACTAAGATGTAAGGCAAAGTAAAACGTTTCACGATTCGAGTTATATTTTACAAATTATGAGCGATTAATGGCATATTTTTCAGTATTTACATCTATATTTCTACTGCGTTACTATAACCATTGTGGAAGACAAACTATTTTTACTGTTTACTGTTAGACCAGTAAGATGCTGTTATTTTTGTTCTTAAAAGAGTTTTAATAACTGGTTTCCTGTTTCAGATTCCAAACAATGATAATCATTTGCCATATCCATTCAGCGATTATAAAAGATTTGAGCCGCGTCACGACAAAACCAACATAGTGCGTTTGCGACCAGCATTGATCCAGACCAGCCTGCGCATCCGCGCAGTCTGATCAGGATCCATGTTGTTCGCTATCAGTTTCTCTACTTGTTATAGGGTTTGTAAGCGAACAGCATGGATCCTGATCAGACTGCGCGGATGGTCGCAAACCCATCATGTTGGTTTTGTCGTGACGCGGCTCATTTCATATTTGTTTCCAAACATATACATGAGAAAATACAAGATGTTATGTACTCAAAGTTAAGGACGAAATGAAACACCATTGTGGCCATTTAATACATAAACCTAATCAAATTCAGCAAATCGAAAACACACGTTTCTGTATTTTAAAAGATGTTGGAGATATATTTATTGGATAAGTACTTTCGCGGTTTGTTGCGTGCGTCCTTGTGTTTGTGAGTGTTTGTTATTGTTGTTGTTTTGTTTGTTTTATACGGCGCATACATATAAAGTTCCTGGAAGCACGTGTGCTCTGACCCGTCTTTGTGTTACACACTACTTAAAGCAGCATGCCTCCAGATTCATGCTTTTGCTCATGAAAACTTTGAAAATGTATTTCAAGTAAAATATTGTGAAGTGAACAATAATGATATTGCAAGCGGCTCTTTTTTACAATCCAGGTAAATTAACAAAAAGAGACCCTAAATGCGTTAGTCGCGCAGTAGAATTATGGTAGTAAATACTACAAAATCAGTCATAAGTGGCATATAACTTGAATCTTTTTATTTTTCTTAAAATCGAATTATATTATTATAAAGTTTTATTTTTTGGAAATATTTTTGCCCATGCTGCTTTAAGTTTGAAAGAACCCCAATTGAGTACCGTAGTCGGAATGACACAACTAAACAGATATTGCTGAAACGCTTAAGATTCTTTGGCGGCAATTTAAATGATTTAATATTTTACCAATAATAAAAAAATACCACTTTATTACCTTTTTGCTTCCATTAAGACAAGTTATTTTATATCTTGAGAAATTATAACAAATGAAAGTTCAAAGGCATAGGCTACAGTTACATAGACATAAGGACAGATTAAAAACTGTATAATAGAATTTGTTTAAACTTCGGATAAACTTAGATCAAAAGCATTTACGTAAATATAACCTCTGGCCTTTACATTGCTTGAACCGAAAAGATTTTGTACTTTTGCTGACTAACCCAGATTGATAGACAGGTCTTGTGCGATTTACATATTCAGCAGGTAGGATGAAACTTGCAAATATGTACAATCTTACAAGTGTCAGAATTGTCGGCTGCTCAAGTTTAATATTTTTTCTTGCAGCCACTCACATTACACATAAGTAGAATAAGTCGAATATATAGAAATTAAATACTACTTTGGCAAAAATGCCCCAGGGTTAATTTTTGAAAACGATGTGTGAAATATATCTACAATATTTAATGTATATAAAATGTATATAAAACGTTTTTGAAACGTACTTGTTTTGGAAAATTCAAATTATTTTGTTATATAGATAGAATGAAAGTAGAAAGAAAACTAAACTCAAAATTTTCCATGAAATTATAAATGATCTTTTTGAAATTTTACAGCTGACTTAAAAGGGCGTAAACTGAAACTCCGCTTTGTCTGCATTACAATCGTTATATATAAACAAATTCAAGACGTATCTGTGAAAATTAGCCTACTTATTTCTAAAATAAGGGAATGGCATATTTTTAAAGTCTGTCCTTTAAAACAAGGGCGGACAGCTCTTTGTCCCTTTCTTTTATGAGAAGGGGAATTCTGTGATGCGTGTATGTGGTCGCACGGTCACTTTCCTAACAACATGTCCTCGATGCATGTATATGGTCGCATGGTCGAAACTCTCTAATAAAATGACATTTTCATAGGTGTTTTGTTACGGAATTGACTGGTGCATAATCTTTATGTTCTTTAAAAACTGTTCAACTCGTAATAAGGAGCCAAAAAACCTTATTAAACTTTGTTATTAAGTTTATCAGCCTAATAAGGACTTTTCAGTTTTTATTAAGAGTTACAAAAGCCTAATTAAGACTTTGATCCTCCTAAATAGGAGAGATTAATTGTTTCTACCAATTACAAGTAAATAGGAATTAAAACTCATAATTCGGAGAAATAAACCTTATAACAACTTTGTAAATCTTAATAAGAAGCTTAAAAAGCCTAATAAGGAGAGATAAAATATTATTATGAGATGAGAAATAAAATCCCAATCAGGAGAAGCTTCAAAAGACTAAATATAAAATAGAAACTTAGTTTGAATTTTATATCTAATACGGTTTTTATGCAAAGAACAAATAATCATTTTATTTTTCCTATGCTTCTAATTGGGACATACAAAGTCCTAATTAGTTTTTATTCATTAAAACATCACATCAAAACAGTAAGGTTCTTTGCTGGTGAGAAAGACCTCTAGTGCACCATCCATGCACAAACGGGAACATGAGTTAATACACCGACGTTCCGTAAGATAGCACGTGAAATAATCTTAAGGCCCTGGCGGGAATCTTACCAACAGTGGCAAGGGTATCAAATCAGCCACCATAGTCTACTGTATGTTTTTGTTTTCTTTCTTTCTTATTAATATTTTCAATTTTATTGAAAGTATTATTGGTATTATAAGTTCTTCTTTTTTTTTAATATGTTTTGCAATTATTATTGTAGTAAGCAAGTCTACAAGATATAATAAGCCACGCCTTTAATATCAAATATCGTTATTGTTACTGTGTGTATGTTTACTTGATGTTTGAGAGTTTATGAGTGTATACTTGGATGCAACACATATAATAAAATATATAAACCATCCTTCGGGTCTTGTTTAGTTTGTGTGCTAGTAAGCCATCCAAATAGAAAATATAAATGTTACAATTATTGGCAAATAACACGCACTTTTTAAATAGCATGGTTAAATTAACATTAAAATCAATAAATGTCATTTCAATGCCATAAAATTAAATACGAAACAGACATATCAGAGATTCTAAGTTGTTCCATATCCGTGTAGACTATTTTGCAAGCGCTATTCATTAAAACATACTTCAAAATAAAGAAGGAATGGGTCTAAAAACAATGACGAAACTAAGGATCGAACCATAGACCTTTAATATATTAGGTAACAATAGGTCACTCAATCGACTATACTTTTGCGGATATGACCAGAACTTAAACATTTAGATAGTGTGACTGTTCAAAACATTAGTCATTTACTCGATATAAATTCTCGTTATCTATATGGATAGTACCGAAATGGAATCGAACATTCAACTGAGTGCTATAATGTATTCATAATTAACAGGTTAATAAAATCAGACTATAAATACCATTCAAATTAATACAAAATATCATATCATTGATAAATATACATGTATTTGAACATTGTCATAAATATTAAAACTTACCTCGTTATTTTACATAATTTTGTATATGCTGGACCTGCAAGACCGACTGGTCCCTTTAGCAACTTATGATCATTTTATGCAGGAAATTTTTCCAGCTAGCATAAAGAAGGTAAATGGTTTAACACAGATTACAGTTCGGACGAATGAGCACATAAGGTATTGTCCCCATTTAAAGCTTTTAAAGTCGCCTTATAGCTTACAACAAAAGTATTCATTTCATTTGATTGTTGTAGCTGTTTAATATTATTATATACATTTAATAAGACTGCATCAGGCGATTTAAGAGTAATATAAATAGTTTTATTGCTTTTTTTATTTACCTATTCCATAAAAACTCTCAAATAAACTTGGATATTGGTTTGTAAATAACGCAAAAACAATTGACCAAGTATCGTATGGCATTATTTAACAGGGGGTGATCCATTATTTACTCATCAAGTTACCGATGTAATTTCTTTATTATCAACAAAGTCGAACACCACTATATATGTTTCATATATGTTTTTTTTTAAGAAACAAACTTCTAGAACCTGTGCGAATATATCGAGTGACACTTGCTTAAAGGGAACTAAAGATTAACTTAATGACAGCATAGAAATTTATAAAAGAACTGAAACAAAATACGCATACTGCATAGACAATTGATTTGTACATATACACGTCTTATAAACATTAAGTAAGTAAATAAAACAGACGGAGGAGAAGCTAGCGATTACCATATTTACCCATGGCACATTATGGTTTTGTATCCGTCTGAAGTAATCCGATGTCTGAAGAAATCAGCTACAGTTATTTAATTTATATAGGGGCGTCCGTGGCCGAGTGGTTAAGATCGTTGACTTCAAACCACTTGCCCCTTACCACTATGGGTTCGAATCCCGACAGGGACTTTTGATTCTTTCACGGAACGTCGGTGGTTCTACTCAGGTGCCCGTTCGTGCCTGAAATAATGCATGGAGGGGCACCTGAGGTCTTCCTCCACCAGTAAAGATGGAACGTCGCCAAATGACATATAAAACCCAATCAAAACAAAACAAACAATTTACATGTATATTCTTAAACATACATGTATATAGTTAAGCGAATGTGATAGCATTAAGACGGTATACTGTACATGTTAACCCATTTTGTTTCATGATTTTTCTTATTTTTTATTGGGAAATTTGAAAAATTTTATTTAGAAATCATTTGTTACGAAAATTTATTTAAAAATGCTTTTAGTACCCTTTGTAACCTTACTGGGCTTTGGTTTTACATGTATGTTTTTATTTTTTAAAAATATGTAAAAAAAACATATAATTTAAAAATTTCATTATAATGTTCTAGCCTGTTGAAAATGGGTTTTTTATTTATGTTATCTGGGAAATAAAATTTAAATTTCTGTTACCCTGTTGAATTTTATTTCGAGATTTCTTTCCCATTGGGGAAAAAAAATTTTTATTTGGGCCCAAGGGTTTAAACCCAATACTCCTTTTATTTTTTAAAAAATTTTTTATGATGGGCCTCATTTGAAAGAAAATAAGAGTCATGGGAGTATTTCGTTTGCCCGTTAAAATGATTAATAATAGATAACGTTGATTAAGATCCGAAAGTGTCATCATGAATAGTTAAGTACATTTTCAACTCTTTTGGGGTTTTTTTATTATTTATTGTACAGTGACATAATTATGTAATTTTCATTTAACAAGTATCTTAATAATGATTTAACTAACTGCAAAGTTAGTACATGGAGTCAATACAAAGTTTGGCTTAAAGTGTAACTGTGACTTACTATGTCTGATATTGTGCCATTTGTACGTTTGGACAATAGTGATTTTTTATTTCGTTCTTACCCGCGATGCACGACGGTACGATGGTGAAACCGCGATGGTACGATGACACGATGTCGCGTTTTCACCATCGTGCCATCGCGCCATCATGTTTTCACCATCGTACCATCGCGTTTTTACCATCGTGCTATCGTCTTTCACCATCGTACCATCGCGCTTTCATCATCGTATCATTGTTTTTTCACCATCATGCCATCGCGCTTTTACTATCGTACCTCGCGCTTTCACCATCGTGCCATTGCACTTTCACCATCGTACCATCGCGTTTTTCACAATCGTAACCATCCCGATTTCACAATCATTTGCAATCGTGGCTTTCGCCTTCGTGCCATCGGGTTTTCACCTCGTGGCCATTTGTGTTTTCACCATCGTACCATAGCGTTTTTCACCAGCGTGCATCGCGTTTTCCCACCATCCGTACCGCACTTCGGGTTTCACATTGTGCCATCGCGCGTTTTTCACTATATCGTACCATCGGGTTTTCACCATCGTGCCATCGCGTTTCACCATCGTAACCCATTTTAGAACTTTCGGGTCAGTATGAGCAGTACTCATATTTACAGAAAGATGTCAGATTCTGATAGGCAGATAGTTAAACAAGTTTAGAATACTTATTAATTTGAATTATAAATAATAAAACCTGTTTTCTTTACATTAAATTTTCCATTTCATTAGTTTAAGCATAGTTTATTTCGAACAAATTCAAAATATATATACTGACAATAATGTACATAATACAAACATGATATGTTGAAAAAGGATTGGGTCCGAAAGCTGAGCTTATAAAGGCCTTCTCCTTATAGATTTACAATGCATAAAATACGGTATGACAGTATATGTGACTTGCTTGAAATGTATCTGATTTTACATTGTTTTTAAGAAGTTAAAGTCAAAATTGTTTCTAACATTTAGTTATAATGTATAGCAAAAATATATACAAAATAAGGAATGAGAATACAAGACTGCATCATTTTGTTATATAAAATTAAAGAGAAATAACGTAAATTAAGATAGACAGAAACGAAGTAAGAAACGTTCAGCAAAATAGAAAAGAAGAAGAAATAAATTAAATGTGGATCATTCGGATAGTTCGAATATTTAAATGGGAAGTATTTATTGATTTGAGCTGATGTGAATATGCTTAAGAGAATCTCCTGCTTTCTCGGATGTATGTCTGAACGGCTTCAAACAGTCTTCTGTTTGCATCATCACTAATGTTTGGGTCTCCATTTAATAACATTTGGAGAGTTGCTGAAAAAATAGTGTTAAGAAAAGAGGCCCTGCTGTCAGCATGTTGACTTTCAAAGAAAAAGTGGTAATTACTTTCCACTATGGCACACTGACAAAGAGGAGATGGAGAAATACTTTTCTTAAATAGATGCTGGTTTAGAGAACTACATTCAGTACGAAGTCGAGCATGATAGATCTGCCTTTTTCTATCGCCTTCATAGAAATAAATCGGACAACTAGAGCTGCTTCGTCTCAAATGGGATTTGAAAGCAAACAGTGAACGTAAATTTTGTACTTCAGTTGGAAGGGCGTTCCGTTTATTCAGAGCAGTTGGAAGAAAAGCATTTTGATAAAGAGTTGTTCGACATTCGAATGGTCTGAATATTTGTAGCATTGCGTAGATCGTACCTTGAATACCTACAGTAGGTGGAAGTAAGGAACACAAGTAATCTGGTGTTAAGCCATTTTTTCATTTTATAAAGTAAGATAAGCATATGATTATTTCTTCGAGATTCTAAGGATTCCCAAGGAACTTCACTATGGAGTTTGTGTAATAATACAAATTGTGTAGCACCGCACACAATACGAGACGCTTCATTTTGAATTTTGTCAAGCTTAAGTTTCTCATATTGTATGAGTTTAGATAGACAACATCGACGTATTCCAAAATCGGTTGGATGAAAGTTAAATATATCACTTCAAGAGATCTACGGTCAAGCTGAAACTTCAATTTCCTCATAATGTGTATCCTCTGCCAGGCTCGTTCGGTAATATAGTTAATGTGACAATGCCACGAGCAATCGTCTGAAAGGTGGAGGCCAAGATGTTTGTGACTGTTTACGGTTGTTATTTGTTGGTTATGCATAAGAAGTGAAGGATGAACGTGTTTATTTCTTTTACGAGAGATAACCATAGATTCAGACTTCGATGGATTAAAAGTAACCAGCCATTTTTCAGCCAAAGCTGATATCTTGTCTATATCAGATTAAAGTGTTTCAGCAGCAGAAGCAGGGTCAACAATAATATGTAAACTGGTATCGTCAGCAAAAAGATTAATTTTAGAGCCTATATCTTCCACGATGTAATTGATGAAAACAAAAAATAGTAGCGACCCATGGATTGAGCCATGGGGTACTCCAGCCTTTACTATCGACCAGTCTGATTGGACCCCAGGTAGGATAACTGCCTGGTGCCTGTTAGAAAGATAGTCAGAAAACCAGTTAAGTAGACAACCGTCTACTCCAGCAGCTTTCAGCTTAAAGAGAAGACCTTTGTGCCAGACTTTATCGAACGCTTAACTTATATCAAAGAACACAGCTCCAACTTCTAATCCGTCATCTAAAGCTTTACATAATTTGTTGTACAAGCACGTTAACTGGCTTACCGTTGAGTCACCTTGTCTGAAGCCTGACTGTACGGAAAAATAAAGTTATTATCTTGAAGAAAATTAAATAGATACTTAAATACAATACGTTAAAAAACCTTTTCTACGCAGCACTGTAACACCGCACTTTGGGGTCAAACGCACTTTGGGGTCGAACCCCAAGGTGCGTTACGCACTTTGGGGTCGGACCCCATAGTGCGTTACGCACTTTGGGGTCCAATTTCGACCCCAAAGTGCGTTAAACAGGTACATATGCATTTTTCAACATCAGGCAAACGACCGCGCACTTTGGGTCAGAGAAAATTTATGTTCATTATGTTTTAAATAATATAGTGTAGTCAAGGCCAATGGTAAACAAAAATCAAGGTATTAAATAGACACAAAACATGTGCCCTGAATCAATAGGGATTTAAATGGTCTTGATTAGTAAGTGAAGAACTTTCACAAAATAAATCACCAAAAAAAAGAATTTGTATCAATGCAGCACGCCCCAGATTCACGCTAATTTTCATGAAAATTTTGAAAATTTATTTGAAATGTATAATATTGTGGAATAACCAAAAGGAAGCAATTTGCACATTATCAATGGCACCTATAACTAACGTAAATTACCAAAAGTTGTCAAAAATATGCATAAATAGCCCTTAATGCGTTAGTAACGCAGTAGGAATATAGTTGTAAATATTGAAAACTCAGTCATTGACTGCACATAACATGTAAAATATTACTTGAATCTTGAATCATTTTACATTTCCTATAATTGTAGTACATATTTCTCAAGTTTGATTTTATTGAAATATTTTGACTCATCTGGAGGCATGCAGTTTTAAGCTTAAAATATGTTTTTCTAGAATTTTCCATTTATTTTAAAAGAATGTACATCTTTCATTAACTCCATTGTTTTTTGCTAAATGCATCATTTTCCCGTTTGTTATTTACACATTTTACAGAAATATGATAGTCTTTGCATAGACAAAGGTATAAATTCTGGGTAATCTTGGTAAGACATTTCAGTAAAAAAATTGCCTGATAATATGTTAAAATAGCCATTCATTTAGCTAAATGTGACACATTAGAAACTTGACTAGGTGAAGATGCGGCTTTAAGTAGTAGTCCGTACAGGCAGTCAAAAAATATCAACTATTTAAGTAGTCGCACATTAAGAGCGAGCTTCAGAATAATGTAAAATTCTCACTGGGGGTATAGAGGGGATTGTGGGGTATCGATCTCCCAGAGGTTTAAAAATAACATTTTAAAGGCCCATTATGCTTTTATTTGTTTTTCTTCAGCTTTTTTTATTTTGATGTTCTTTTATATTATCAAAAAGATACACATTGGCCAATTACCTGAACCATCTTTTTCATCTGTTGCTTTTTGACAATGATGAGTACAGTACTGTTATAGTAGTGATAAGTAGTTTACATGTTTTATATGGAAGTCAAATACTACATTGTTTTGACTACTTTTATGACAAATAATTTCACATTTATCGCTACTTTATTCAGGTAACAAAGCATCTTACATTTCTCTGATACCATTATTTTAACATTATAAAATTCATCTTTCTAAAAAAGTATGTAAGATTTCCCATTAAAAAAGCATCTGGCGAACGGTTGTTACGGAGGGAAAAAATATTAGCTGCATTTTATTTCATTCCTTACATATTTAAAATGGAGCTCAACATGGCACCAAAAGTTATCAAGTAAATGACTGACAAAACGGGATATTTTTCGCAGCATCTTTAAACTTTAGGAATACACGATTTCTGTACTAAAATATTTTGAACGGTGGCAAAAAAGTGACATTTGCAACTTTTTTTTTGTTTTTGATACTTTTTTTTTCCGTACATATTTTCTGTTGTTTTTTTTTTTGTTTGTCATACATTTTTTTTTTAGTTTTGAAGACATACTTTTTTTAGTTTTGCATACATATTCTTTTTAAGTTTTGCATACATATTCTTTTTAAGTTTTGCATACATATTTTATTTTAGTTTTGCATGCATATTTTATTTGAGTTTTTGGTACATATTTTATTTTTGTTTTGTTTTTTACTTTTTTTCGTACATAATTTTACATGACGCCATTTGCAAAGTAGAGGTTTGGATAAAAAACGCCATTTGTAAAACACCCCATTTGCAAACGACATTTGCAAATACAAACATTTTCATTTTTGGAGGTATCAAAAAGATAATAACACTTTTTAGTATATATATATACAGAGACATAGATATTATCTATGTCTCTGATATATACATGTACATGTATATATATATATATTTTTTTTTTTCTAAATCAGTGGAATATAAGGACCTATTTAGATCTTTTATTGTGCATTATTGTAATACACCAGTCATTTGTAACCACCTCCCTTGCCCCGGGGGAGTGCGGGTTAAAAAAAAATCGTGTGATGTCTGCGCTGTTCTGGGGCATAAGGCAGGAATGTTATTATCTGAATATCCCCCGCAGGGCGAAGATTTTACCAGTGGTCGGCTTGGTTTAAAGTCAATGCCCCTCCCTCCGCTATACTCAGGGGGTGGGGTTGAGTGGTGCATATTCATTCACCAATCAACAGCCCTTTCCAAATAGACACTACTATAATAGTAGATAATAATTTTTAAAAAAATACACTAATGATATAAAATACATATGATTTAAAAAATGGGCCGAAAAAGGTCGGCCGAAACCAGACTTGCGCGGCCAAAAACGACTGGGCCGATTCCAAAAAATGGGCCGAAATGTGACCAAACTACTGTGCTAGTTTTATACTCAACTATGGGCTATTATGAGATGTGAAGGCTGTTTTGATTGGCTAAAATATGTACGAAAATCCAAAATAAAAAATGTACGAAAAACTTTAATAAAATATGAATGCAAAGCTCAAAAAAAAAATATGAATGCAAAACTGAAAAAAATATGTATACAAAACTTAAATAAAAATATGTATGCAAAACTTAAATAAAAATAAATGCAAATGTCACTTATATGCCACCGTAATTTTGTTATATGAACAATTATTATTATTTTTAGATATTTTAAATGGTTAAATTAATGAAACTTTTATCACTTAAGGATCATCAAAGTATTGACCGCCATCTTGAACTCCACCTCAAATATTTCAATGTCGAAGATCGAAAATAAGTCAGTTCTCAGTATTTAAGCAGAACTCAAATTACACCTTCGGACCTCTGGAACCCAAAGTGCGTTGATATGTAGCATATTAACGCACTTTGGGGTCAATTTCTCGATTTTGACCCCAAAGTGCGTTTGACCCCAAAGTGCGGTGCGAAGTTTAACGCACTTTGGGGTTGGACCCCAAAGTGCGTTTGACCCCAAAGTGCGGTGTTACACAGCACAACAGGGAAATCGGACGATAGTTATTTGGAACAGATGGATCACCTTTTATAAAGACAGCACAAACATTTGCCTTTTTCCATGTAAATGGTATTTTAAAAGTCTGAAGAGACTGATTGAGCAACGAACGTAGGGGAAATTTAATAACCGAAACAGTTTCCCGCAATATTCGGTTACTGACCCCATCAGGACTTGAAGCTTTGTTTGTTTTAAGTGACAGCAGAGCTTCTTCAACATCCTGAGGAGAGATAGAAATAGAACAAAGTGTGTTTATGGGCAGATTACAATCATTAAAATGAAGTTCTTTATCAGCATTATTTAGCGACGACTGGCTACAGAAAAAATCATTCAAAAGGTCAGATTTTAATTTTGAATCAAAAACAAGGTCATCGTTGATTGGGTTTTTAAGTGGAGAAATGCTTTGTTTTTCAGTGGGTGAGATATAGTATTTGATTAGTTTCCACCAGTCCTTCTGTGTAGTACAGTCTGACTTGAGAGACTCTGCCATTTGTAAGAAGTGGTTATGTTTAGCCGTGCGTATAAGTGTAACGATTTTATTACGGAGTTGTCTAAATTTGTACCAATGGTGCGAGTTCTGTGAGTATTTGGCTCTGTGGTCATATTTTTTTGCGCTTATGTATTAGTTTCTTTATTTCTGTTGTAATCCACGGAGCATCGTTAGGCTTAACAGTTACTTGCCTCGTTTGGATGAATGATTTAGATAGTTCCAGGAGTTTGTTTGTAAATGAGGAAGTATAGATATTGATGTCATCTGTTTTCAACTGATTCCATTCGGTGTTACTAATGCTGTTTTCATTTCATTATACTGTATATAGATCAAATACTATCTAATATATGATTATATACGCTTAATAAATGTTTGCGTGTTTTCGTTTGCTGTATTCAAGATATCAACTGTACAGAGCACAAGGGTGCCAACTTAAATATTTTTAAATTTTTGAGCGATTGCCGATGGTGAAATCGCGATGGTATGTTGGTGAAAAGGCGATGTAACATCAGATTTTCACCATCGTGCTATCACGCCATCGCAATTTCACCATCGTACCATCGCGTTTTCATTATCGTACCATCGTCTTTTTACCAGCGTACCATCGTGCCATCGCGTATTCACCATCGTGCCATCGCGCATCACGGGAACAGACTACTCAGTAAAATATCACGACTGTCCAAACGGAACACAGTACATCTGTCGTTATTTCATGCTTTCGCCTTTCGCACCGCAGGGCACCAGACGGAAGCACGAGAATGTAACCACTTTGTCGTACTTTCGCTTTGCGGACATGGACGAACACACGACAAAGCGGTTACTTTGTCGTATTTCTATGCTAAGCTATGGCGCGCTGCGGAACAAATATACGATATGACAAAAACTGCCACAATATCGTCACCTTTATATGTTGAATAAAAATGACAAAAGTAATAAATCAATACAAAATCAATTGGAACCAAAATATAACAAGAGCACCGCTAGGATAAGCATTATATGCCCGAAAGTTTTAGTAAGGATGAAGCATTTGTAAGACATGGAAATTAAATAAAGTATTACCTCCTTCAAAAAGCAATTCTCCTTTATAACTGAAAAACCTTCATATAAACACAGTTGCTGTTTCAAAAGCACCACCATCAAGTTGGTATCTTGTAAGTAAAAATGCTACGACGGATGTACGGAAAGTGACATTGACCTTATGACCCAAAAATAATAGGGGTCTTCTTCTCAATATTGACAATCATCATATGAAGTTTGAACACAGTGGGCCAAATGGAACATAAGTTATGCTCCAAAACACAATTTTCAGTGTAAAGATCATTGTGACCTATGACCTTATGACCTCAAACTCAATAGGGGTAATGTAATGGATATGGCTGTTCTTCCTACAGCTGTAGGTTGATTTATACTTTAAGTTACTTAGCGGAAACTGTTCTCAGTTTTAAGGTAATAGTGACCTTAACCTTTGATCTGGTGACGCAAAAAACAATAGGGGTCTTTTACCCAATATGGACACTCATCCTTTGTAGTTTGAATATTGTGGGCCAAATGGAACTTAAGTTATGCTCCGGAACTGTTTTCAGTTTTGAGGTAATAGTGACCTTCACCCTAGACATTGTGATCTCAAAAGCAATAGGGGTCTTCTACTCAATATGGAAGATCATCTTATAAAGTTTGAATATATTTGGCCAAATGGAACTTAAGTTATGCTCCGGAAACTGTTTACAGTTTTTGAATAATAGTGACCTTGACCTTTGACCTTGGTACCCCTAAATCAATAGGAGTCTTCTTCCTAATATGGACAATCATCCTATGAAGTTTGAATATTGTGGACCGAATGAAACTTATGTTATGCTCCGGAAACTGTTTTTAGTTTTACGGATATACTGACTTTGACCTTTGATCTTGTGACCCCAAAATCAATAAGGGTCTTTTACCTGATATCGACAATCATCCTATGAAATTTGAACATTGTGGACAAAATGGAACGTAAGTTATGCTCCGGAAACCAAATTCCTCACGGACGGACGGACAGACAGACTGACGGACGGACGCCGAAATTCTTTCAGGCATATAAGAAAAATACAAGATATTACATTTATGAACATCAAATAGCACATAAGGCCGCAATAGTAACTACAGGGGGCCTCCGTGGCCGAGTGGTTACGGTCGCTGACTTGAGATCACCTCTGTAGGTTCGATCCTCAACTCAGGTCGAAATCTTTCATGTGAGGAAGCCATCCAGCTGGCATACGGAAGGTCGGTGATTCTACCCGGGTGCCCGCTCGTGCCTGAAATAATGCCCGGAGGGGCACCTGGGGTCTTCCTCCACCAATAAAAGTTGGAAAAAAATCGAGGAAAAATCTCGGCGGGACGCTCTAGGATGGCCCGACTTGAGTGTACGGTCGCCCAAATGGGCTTTCCGGCGGCGACCTTAAATAAACGCATTAAAAAAAATAGTAACTACCCACATGCAATAGTTACTACCCACATTCAAAATAACAAAGTCCCGAAATTTCTCATTTATTTTAACACGGAAAAAGTATCTCTGGAAATTGAACCAAATATACAATAAAATTAGTGATCATTTGACAAGTTAGTTTTAGATTTTGTTTCTTGACCTCTGCAAACAGTATTATTAATTATACAATAGAATTATTACACTTTTTCAGTTCCACTGATTCTGACTACAATAATATTCATCAGCTCTGTTAATTGTAAGTATTAGCTCATATATTTGTTTGTACTTCAAGTTAAATACACTTTTCTTGCTAAATTTCAGTATCAGTATTTTCATAAATTCAAAACAAAAGTCAAGATTTTTTCTGATCGATAAATTGTGTTCAAGAAAGTAGTTCAATGAGATTTGTTTAAAGCTGTACATTTTCCTTTTCCTTAAAAGGGGTTGATCATTTATCGCGCTATTCGTGTCGTAAATTAAAAAGATGTGCTTCAATACAGAAATCTTTTTTGTTTATTAACGTCATTGACGTGTAAGCATTCGTTTTTTTTAAGCATATATCATGTAAAATTGCACTTAATTGCTACATCTCTTTGATATGGGAGTAATGTGAAGTGTGTTAGAATAAAAAAATAACGTACAGTGGCATATTTAGATAGTTTTATTGAGTCTCAATTATCCTCCTTGTTCAAGATATGGCCATTGCCAAAAAAAAGCCAACAGGGCTTGCCATTATTGTTCACCCGCCTCACATTTGTTTTCATCTTTATTTATAGATCTACACATGATATTATCACTATGTATTTATATACAATTATTATACGTAGTTACAAAGTACATACCAACATTAAGATTCAAGTATAGCAAAACTTATCGCACTCAGTTTAATTTCTGGCTGTAGTACTTTTCATCAGCTTATTTAGCTGTAGGTAATTTGTTTTTGTGTAAGCCCTTATTTTCATTGCCAAGTTGAGCAGACTTGACAATGTATTTCAAAAGATTGTCTGTTATAATAGTGATTCACCAACAGTTGATATTGGAAAAAAGTATAGGATGAAATATAAATCAGCCTAAAATATAAAAAGACTTCACCACTCTTTTTAAAAAATAAGTACGGAAGAGCATTAGTGCCAGGTGAATGTTTTTTATTAACTCGAAATCTCGAGTTACTAACTCGAAATTTCGACTTACTTTTCTCGAAATTTCGACTTAGCAACTGGAAATTTCGACTTTGTAACTCGAAATTTCGACTTAATAACTCGAAATTTGACTTACATTGCACGACTTTCATTGGTTGTCGGTAAAAGCAAGGATTGAATTCAAGATACTTTCTTTCGTGTGTAGCTGTTGCGCACCTTTAACGTTATTTTACAGAACAATTTAATAGGGTCAAATTGTCCACACATACAGAACTTATGCTTCGCATTTTTGTGGAGGGGGTGTAAAATCACACTTTCCACATTTCCGTGTTAACCGGATGTTTCTTTTTCATAAGCACACATACAACCATCATGTGGAGAAACAACAAGTCCAAAACCTACCCTATTGTAAACTGTGCAATACCATGTGTTAAATAAGTTTTAAATGGCGTGTATACGCCAGTAAGTCTGTCACGTTTCTTTATACTAATAATGTTTTTGTTACATTATTCATTATTTACTAATACTTTGATTCATATTGTGTTGATAAAAGTTGATAAAAGTGGAACTTGTTGTTATATATATGTTTGGAATAATATAAAAGCATCCGGTTTTACAAGAAATATAGTCAGTCCAACAATTTTTACAAACTAATAACTTTTGCCATTCTTGTAATGTTAATAAGTCGAAATTTCGAGTAACTAAGTCGAAATTTCGAGCTACTAAGTAGAAATTTCGGGTTAGTAAGTCGAAATTTCGAGTGAATAACTCGAAATTTCGAGATAGTAAGTCGAAATTTCGGGCAAGTAACTCGAAATTTCGAGATAAGTAACTCGAAACTTCGAGTTACTAAGTCGAAATTTCGAGTTAGTAAGTCGAAATTTCAAGTTAGTAACTCGAACTTTCGAGTTGATAAAAAACATGCACCTGGCACTAATGCTTTTCCGTAAATAAGTGTTCACAGGACTGGTATTTATCAAAATGTCCTAAGGTCACGTGAGTTTTTTATTGTTCATGGGAAGTTAATTATAAATTGTAATGATTTTGGCAAAATGTAAACTTATATTGACCTTCTCCTTTTCACTCACTATATACCCATGGACAGACAAAATGTCAATTTAAACAAGAGACAATTGTTTTTAAACAAAAGCAATGTGTATATTTACCCTTACCTTTAACAATTCACAATGAAATATAGCATATATATTCCCATTGTTCTTCTATCTTTTACCAGACGTCGAATCTTTACTGTGCTATTCATGCAGTGATTTAAAAAGCAACGAGCAATGTTTCAATACAACCATGTGTCCAGATGGAGAGGTAAAAAATAATATTTCGTTGTGTTTGCTTTGTCGTTGAGTGAATGCGATACTCGTATTTTTTTATTTTATTTTTTTTTTTTTTTTTGGGGGGGGGGGGTTGGGGGGGTTTCATCATTACTTATATTACTTTATGTACGATTTCTAAAGGAAATTGATATTGCATATGACAAATACAAACATGCCATCCATTGTCCACTGCTTCGTTTTTATTTCGTAAATACTTCTCCTACCTGACACTGCCTTAGATAATCTCTATCTGACCATATAAACCCGCATTTTTTTTAAGCGCCGGATAATAAACATCTACTGATGACGTATTATCCGGAACCACGTGGAGCACGCTCTCCCATGTTTCAGTTTTTCTCTTGAGCGGCCATTGAGCACATAGAAGTGTGCCACTCGCGTGAAAATTTTATTGTTTGTTGGATTTATTTAATTTGTTTTGTTTTGATGGCGGAAGTTCAGGTAAGGAAAGGTGTAGAAGCGATAGAGGAAGGAGAAATTCCTTCGGATAAAGATATTTCTAGCCGTTTTTCGGACACAAACACTAAACGTTCCGAGAAAAGTAGCGAGGACCCAAAGTCGGGTAAAAGGAAGAGAACATCGCGTTATGACCAAATGGAAGAAAAATGGTCATCTAAATTCAATGGACTTAGCTAAGAAATGTCTGGAATTAAGCAGTCGTCTTTACTTCAAAACAAAGAGAAAGGCAGCTCTGAATGTTCGCCAAAAAGGCATAGACTTGATAAGAGTGTTTCGCCAAAAAGGCAGAAACGTAGCTATTCTCGCCGTCACCGTAGAAGTGAACGGTTTTCGATGCACACATTTTCGGATAGTAGTCCTAGTGATGAAGACCAATTGCCTTTATATGACAGATCTACGGGTTTTTCATCTGATGAAGGTAATAAAACTCATTTATCATCACGTTCACCATCTAGGAACCCTTTACATAGCCCTAGTCAAAGTTATGTGAGGAATTTAGAGAATGAAAGTCTTAGTAAAAACGTAAGTGTACAAGATTCTCAATCAAAAAATGATTTAGACTTGTTCAAAGTTTTTGGTGATGATGCCAAATTTAAAAAGGATGTTGTTAAAATGGGCATTTCTATTGACAATTCTCAGAAAGAAACTTAATAATAGTTGGCATTGTGACCAGCCATCATTTTTGACAGCTACGGGGGATAATTATGAGGAGTTATTTCCTGTAGACGCAGAAACTGAAAAAAATTACAAGTCCCATCTCTTGATGATATGGTTGAGGATCTCCTTGTTGAAAATTATAGCTCAAAAGCCGCGTTCACATCAAAAAAGACTTCTTTATTCAATCAGCCATGTAAAATGGTGGAACATATTTTGTATAAAGGTCAACAAGCAGCCAAATATGCGCTTACTATGCAGTTATACACGCAGCAGTGTCTTGGTAAATTAATGGTAGCTTTTCAAGATGACTCCTTAGATAAAGAAAAATGTATAACGCAAATTCGTGACATTTTTGCTATATCAACAAAATGTTTAGAACAAATTGGCAGAACAGGTGCTTTTCACCATATAGGTCGAATGCAATTAGCAATGGCAGACACTAAATTGTTTAAACTTAGGGGTAGGGACACTATTTCTAACTTGCCACTTAGAAGTGATGGGGTGTTTGGTTCACAACTTAATTCTAATTTGGAAAATAGAAAAGACAAAAGGAAAGCTATAAAGGAACTTTTTTCGGAGTTAGGTTTAAATAGAAAATGTAAGGCAGTCACAGAGGAGTCTTACCAAAACTTGAAGAGATCTAAGCCTTCTGCTACTGTTTCTAGCATGACTACTGCTAGAACACCGTCAAAACTTCTCTGGTGATTTTCGCATTCCACGCATTCAAAAAGGGGGAAAATCTCAGTATCAACGTGGAAGACGTTTTTCTACTAGAGGAAAACCAGATTTTACCAGACGTTCAAGTGTCAAGGAACGACTGGGAGACACAGTTAAAAAATGACAAGGTAAGTGTTATTGCGAAGTTTCCAGAAATACCTGTCGGAGGCCGTTTGTCTCATTTTTTTCAAGAATGGAAAAATATAACGACAGACAAATGGGTACTAGAAATAATTCAACACGGCTACAAGCTAGAATTTTTGAAGATTCTACTTTTCAATGGAATAAAGGAAACTCGAGTTCCATCTATTCAAACAAATCTTATAGCTTTAGAAATAGAAAGTCTTTAAAAAAAAAGAAAGCTATCGAAAAAGTAGACAAAACTATTGCACATGCCGGTTTGTAAAGCACTTTATTCCTAGTATCAAAGAAAAATTGGGGAAATGAGACCGGTGATAAATCTAAAGCCTCTAACAAGTATTTAAGGAAACTTCATTTCAAAATGGACACGTTAAGCAAAGTCCTGAACCTAGTTCAAAAAGGAGACTGGGGTCTAACATTAGACTTAAAAGACGCTTATTTTCATATAAAGATTTACAACGGACATCGTAAATTTCTTCGTTTTTATTTCCAAAATCAAGTTTATCAATTACGAGCTCTTTGTTTCGGCCCAACAGTGAGTCAAAGGGTTTTTACAAAAATTGTAGCTACAGTAACAGCATATTTACATCGTCAGAATATACGTCTAGCATCTTACCTAGACGATTGGCTAGCTGTAGATCAAACCAGAAACAAATTACTTCTAAAGAGAAATTCAATTTTAAGTCTCCTTTTTCGACTAGGATTCATAGTAAACAAAGAGAAGTCAAATTTAATCCCAAGTCAAGATTTAACTTACATAGGCGGTTTGTTTCGTTTGAAAACAGGTCATGTGTTTCCGACGGAAACAAGAGTAATAAATTTAAAGACGTCTGTGATCGATTTGCTATCGGTTCAACCAACAGCAAAACATTTTCTTGTTCTTCCTGGCCAGATTGCTTCTTGTCTGTTGCTCATACCAAATGCACGACTGTTCATGCGCCCTATTCAGTTATTTTTACTAGCAAATTGGAGTCCAGTCAGCATGAATTTATCAAAAATAATTCCATTGACTCCAGAGCTTCGTTTACATCTGAAATGGTGGTTACAGGATCAGAACATTCTGAAGGGTTACTATTTTCAAACAAGGTCATACCCACATATAATTACCACCGATGCGAGTTTATACGGATGGGGAGCACATATGAAGGGTTATACAGTGCAACGCCGTTGGTCTGCGAGTCAGAAACTTATGCACATAAATTGTCTGGAAATGAAAGCAGTACTGCTAGCTGTGTGTCATTTCCTACCATTTGTGAAATCTCAGAATGTTCTGATTCGAACCGACAATACGACAGTGATGCAATACATAAACAAACAGGGGGCACCAATTCCCCAAAATTATGCATGATGAGTTGGGATTTGTGGAATCTGGCTTTGGAGAACAAGATATTACTTCGAGCAGCACATGTCAAGGGCAAACAAAATTGTCTTGCGGATCTTTTGTCTCGGAAGGAGATAAGGGATTCAGAATGGTCTCTGAAAGATTGTTTTCTTCAGAAAATTTTCAATCTGTGGGGTCATCCATTAATGGATCTCTTCGCAACGGAAAAGAACAGAAGACAATGTTGTTTTGCACTTGGATACCGTCCCAGTATGCATATGCGACGGATGCCCTGTCGGTTGCTTGGCAGAACATGTTTGCGTATGCTTTCCCACCAATACAACTTATACCCAAAGTACTTTCTCACATGAAACAGTACAAGTGCACAGTCATTCTGATAGCACCCTTTTGGCCTCGTCAACAATGGTTCCCCACACTTCTCAGCATGTTAATTGCGAATCCTCTACAACTTCCATGCAGTCCAGATCTGTTGTCTCAATGTCAGGGAAAAGTTTTCCAACCAGAACCAGAGAAACTGAACTTGGCTGCATGGATGTTGTCGACCGAATGTGGTCGACAAAGGGATTTTCTAAAAAAGCTAGAAAGTTGCTCAAATCATCTTGGCGTATGGGAACAAGAAAAGACTATAGTTCCAAATTTAAACAATTTCGTTCTTGGTGTGCTTCACAACAAATTAATCCATATGAACCATATTTAAAAGATTGCATTCATTTTATAACCTTTTTATTTGAAAAAGGGTTGTCTTACAAAACAATTAATGGGTATCGGTCTATGCTTTCTTCAATTTTACCTAAGGTAGATGATTATGCAATTGGAAAGCACCCATGCATGATAAGAATGTTAAGAGCTGTTTTTAATGAAAGACCCCCTATTAAGAAACTTGTTCCTGAATGGGATGTTTGTATCGTTTTAGGTTCTTTGAAGATGTCTCCATTTGAGCCCTTGAAGGATGCTGCTTTGAAATACCTAACTTGGAAAACTTGTTTTTTGATTGCCATAACTACATTTCGTCGATGCAGTGACATACAATCACTTCAGCTTGGTGATGAATCTGTTAATGTACAGAAGAAAGATATTACTTTCATCAGAACTGGCTTAGCTAAACAAGACAGACCTGGTCACACTAGTAGTAACATTTTTGTGCCTTCTTTTCAAAAAGATAAGTTGTTGGACCCGAAGAGAGCATTGACATATTACCTTAGGAACACAGAACAATTTAGAAAATCAGGGTCTGAAGAGGTTATCAAATTATTTTTGGCTGTCAATAAGCCTCATAAACCAGTCTCATGTCAGACCATTTCTAGATGGTTAACTAATACTATTAAATTTTGTTACAAGTTTGCTCAGAAGAACCCTGGTAGAGTGCATGGTCATCAAACCAGATCTAATGGACCTTCTTTTGCATGATTCAAAGGAACATCTTCCAAGGACATTATGGAGGCAGCCGATTGGTCAAGGGAGACCACATTTGTAAAATATTATTTGAAAACTATGGGTACTAGAGTACTTGATGTGTAAGAAAACACAGATAAAAGTTTTCTCCTGAGCGGGTTGCAAGTAGGAGTTTTTATTAAACAATTCTATATTATGGGACAATTATATTGGTTAAGATAAGTGTTACCACTGTGGTACAGTGGATCTGTACATAGTTAAGAAGTGATTATGGGAAATCACATTTCTTGAAGTTTCAGTCGATGATGTGGAACACATTTTTAGGTGAGTGGAATTAAAATAATTAAATTTTCACTTAAGCAGTTTGTACTGCTGTTGAATCTTATATTATCTAAGGCAGTGTCAGGTAGGAGAAGTATTTACGAAATAAAAATGGAAAATTTGGTTACAAATTAAAGTTTTATGAGTAAATACGAACCTACCTGACACTGCCGGTTGCCCTCCCACCTCCCCATGTGTTTTATTTTGAGTTGGTCAATGGGCCGCTCAAGAAACTGAATCATGGGAGAGCGTGCTCCACGTGGTTCCGGATAATACGTCATCAGTAGAGGTTTATTATCCGGCGCTTTAAAAAATATGCGGGTTATATGGTCAGATAGAGATTATCTAAGGCAGTGTCAGGTAGGTTCGTATTTACTCATAAAACTTTAATTTGTAACCAAATTTTCCATTTTTTTTTATTATGAATTCCATTCTGCTTGTATGCCACGTCATGTTGAAAACGAAATTATATAGAATAAAGAACAATTAAAATTTCATTTGAAACCCTAAGGAACACCTGTGTGTGTCTCTTTGCAAGGCTCTAATTCAAATTACTTAAGCAGTGCATTGATTGGTTATAAAAGTGGTAGACGATAAACCCTTTTGCTTTTCAAAATTGTACTTAATGTTTAAATGATAGTATGAATTGCTGAAATTCGCTATATTTTTTCGGTTTGCTAAATACTGTGCATATTCTTTTAAAATAGTTGCATGAGGTCTTAAATATAATTTGTGCAACTGATATACAAGTAATTAAGATGAAACACATTCTATTTAAAGGCTTGTTATGGTAGAGCAGATGGACTCTTAACATCGGAAGTGAAACATACAACTGGGTGTACAAAGGAGCTTGTAATATCTATTACTGTTGTAACAAGGTGTATTTTTCGGGTAATCTGTGTTTTGAGATGTTCCCTAGCTTTCCTGTGTTTTTATCCATATTGTTTATGTAAGAGTGCTTTCCCCTTGACTTTGGCGGGAATTTGTACGTGTCTCGTGAATCTCGTTTTCATTTCGTTCAGTGCGTTGGTTGGTAGCCATTGAGAGAGGAAGGTATCTCTGTTCAGAAGTTGTGATGTTTTTTACACTTTAACATGTTTCTTTTTGGTTGGAAACAGTTCATCTTTGTATAAGGTAACTATTGCAATGGCTGAAGTAATTTATTAAAGAATTATTCTTTGTTATTTTGGCTAAGTAATGTACATGTTTCATTTCGAAGATAAATCCAAGTAAGTGAGATCACAATTGCACTGCACATAACCAACTTTAAGTACTGCATGAGTTTAACAAATTCTTTTTCTGGTGAATAGTAGCTTAACCACATAAATCTCTCAGCCATTTTGGATACAATTTAAAGAAAAAATTCAAAAAATTGTAAGTTTCTTCAGCCATTGTAAAAGAACCAAAATAGACACTTGTCTCTTCCATTAAGGTGTTTATGGTATTGTGTATTGATTGACCTACTTCTGTCCAAGGTTAACAGGTTTACAGTAGGGACTGTTTCAAGATTAACTTTTCTGGAGGTGTGTTTTGTTTCTGTGTTCTGATTGGTTGAAAACTGTCCTAGATTTATGTCTGACATTGACATTGGATATTTTGACAGCTGATTTAGTTGGGAGAATTTGGTGAATTGATATTTATTCATTAATTCAAAGTAGTAGACCTATTATAAGTTGATAATAAAAAGCATATAAATAATTATCAATTAAAAGGTTGACAACTACACTTTGAAGTATTTATAAAATATTTGTTTAGATATTAATAATATTTTTTCTTACAGCGGGTGCAATTATTTCCATTGAATATAAACTACAGATAATTTTGTATTTCCTTTGCAGATAAAAATAGTTTAATATTCTACATTGGTTAAGAATACAATGTGACTTTGATGTTTCACACTCAGTAAATATTTATGAATTAATTGATTAATTAAAAATAAAATATTTTAATTAATTAATTTATTCTTCAAATGTAAACAATTTGTTTGTTGAATGAAATTTATATTCATTTAACAATTTGAAGTCAAGTAATTAAAAGTATATTGACTAGGAGGTTATCATAGCATATATATACACATAAAGTGTACCATACAAGACAACCAGTTGTGTTTATTTCATTCCCCCCCCCCCCCCCCCAGCAATAAAACGTTAAAACACCCCTCCCCATCTACTTTCAATTAAACTAAATATTATATCATGAATACTTTCTAAAAAGTTTTGACAGTATTGATGGTATAAAATAGGGATTCCATGTGTTTGAGTTATTATTGCAAACAGAAAATTGATTGCAATTAATACTTAAGTAAACCATGCACAATTCATTGTGTTGATACTTGTTATTGCAAACAAATACATTGATTGCAATAAATATTAAACTTTACGTAACATTATTACTGTAATACTTTGTTACGGTAATAAATAAATTGTTCGCAACATATACTTCGGTGTGCTGCAGCTTTCGTGTCTTTATTTTATACGGTATTTTAAAATACGCTGTGAACATTTGTGATTACATGTTGTAAATATTTGAAAATATTCAAATACTGAAATATATCGGACATTTATGAATACAGTGTTATGAATATTTGAAAAGGAGAGACTGGATAAATTTATATACACTGAAATACTTAGTGTTTAAATTTGTGGATATATTTTTTAGAAGGATTTCGTGACAACTGAAGTTGTTCTTCAGCAGTGAATCCTCGCAACATATATTAAAAGGAAATATATATATTGAACATGACTTCAAAAGAATCTAAAGCAATGGAAGAAAAGGATCGCAAACTTCTGGAAGCATTTCATGAACTAGATGGAAGCGAAGGCATTGAAACGAAGGAAGATCTTTTAGCATTTATCAAGCACGTCGGGACAGGATTATCAGGAATCAAACCTGGTGCTTCGGTACATATTCCAGAGACAACATCTTCTAAATTTCCACGCATTTCATTGTTTTATGGAGAGAAAGGCAAAGGAGAAGTGGGATATGCCACATGGAAATATGAAATAAGGTGTTTATTAAAGGAAAAGAGTTACACACCTGAACAAATACTGCTTGGAATACGACGCTCTGTGAAAGGTCAAGCATCAGATATTTTAAGACATCTTGGCATATCTCCAAGTATTGACGAAATACTTACAAAGTTTGAGGCTACATATGGAGATATCAACACTCCAGTTTCTATTTTAAGGAATCTTTACACATGTGAACAGAATAAAAATGAACCTTTTATTACATATGCATCTAGAGTGGAGGAGATAGCTGCAGAAGCTGTAGAGTTAAAGGCAATGACACCTGTACAAGTGAAAACAGAACTAAATGTGGTGTTATATTCTGGAATGCGTCAACCTTTAAAGCAGTTATGCAATTATATGTATAACACAATAGACAATTATGAGGATTTCAAGGTGGAATGTAGAAAAGTTGAAGCGGAGATGCTCAAGGACAATGATAAGAAAAATAAAAAGGATGATAAACCGCAAAGTAAGCTATGACTAAACAACAATTAGACTCTGCTGAGTCTAATCAGTTTTCAGATATGAAAAATTTATTACAAGAAATGAACGAAAGGATAAAGAAATTAGAGATGGAGAAAGAACAAAGCCAATTTGCACAACAACATATACAGAGAGGAGGATATCCTAGTAGAAGATTCTTAGATAGAGGACAACGCCATTATAGAGGCACACTTGCACGAGGTCAACCTTTCCGAAGTAGAGGCACTTATCAGCCACGACGCCCTACTGGTACAACAACATTTAGACCAACCGGTACGACAACATACAGACCTACATACAACAACAATATTGATGGTGTAACATGTTATCGCTGTAACAAACAAGGACATATTGCTCGCTATTGCTCGGAAAACATGTAAGTGCTGCCATGATGGGACCTGATGCCAGCACTAAACAAAATAATGGTCCAGAACTTGTTGGACATACAAATGAAGCTCAAATATTTATAAATGGAATAGAAGCAAATGCACTTATTGATACGGGCAGCTGTGTTTCAACAGTTAACATCAATTTTTACAACAGCAATTTAAATCATCTAGAAATGAGACCAGTTTCGGAAATTCTTAACATAGAATGTGCTGACGGCAAAACCTTACCATACCATGGTTATATAGAAACTACTTTAAATACTAAAGGAATTCCAAAACAAGAAGATCTTGTTTGTTTATTTCTTGTCGTCTCGGAAACACCTTACAACTCGAAGACTCCTATTCTTCTCGGAACAAATATTTTGAATGAACTTATGGCATCATGTAAACAGAACTTTGGAGAGTTATTCCTTCAGAAAGCTTCACTTTTTACCCCATGGTATTTAGCTTTTAGATGCATCACTGTAAGGAATCAGGAAGTAAAAAGAAACAAAGACAAAATAGCAATAATAAGGAGTGCCGAGCCCTCGCAGATTATCTTGGGACCAAACCAGACTAAGAATATTAGAGGAGTTATCGACAAAGAATTAAACTATCACCCTACTTGTGCTATCATACAGGAAACAGATGAATCAAACCTACCTAATTGTATAGACATCACACCTTCTGTAGTTTATTTTCAGTATAAAAAGAACAAAGAAATTACTGTAAATGTCTCGAATCTTACAACAAATACAGTTGCGATAACACCAAAGGCTATACTTGCGGAACTACAACCTGTCGATGTGGATGAAGCGGTATTTGAAAAAATACAGGATTCACCAAAGTTTGACTTATTCAATGAAGTTACAATTGAGACTACACTTACACAAGATCAAGATACACAAATAAGGAACTTACTGTTAAAGCATCAAGATATATTTTCTAAAAGTGACACTGATATTGGACATTGTAAACTAATGAAGCATAGGATTGATTTGATAAATGACACACCCTTTAAGCAAAGACACAGACGTATACCACCGGCCATGGTTGATGAAGTTAGGGCACACTTAGAGCAGTTACTTTCCAGTGGAGTTATACAGAAATCCAAGTCGCCATGGTGTTCAAATATTGTTTTGGTTCGAAAGAAAAATGGGAAAATCAGGATGTGTGTGGACTACAGAATGTTGAATCAACGAACAGTAAAAGATGCGTACGCTTTACCAAGAATCGAGGAGGTTTTTGACGTTTTACAAGGATCAGAGGTCTTTAGTACAATAGATATGAAAAGTGGCTACCACCAGATTGAAATAGAAGAAACACATAGAGAAAGAAGTGCATTCACTGTCGGTCCACTTGGATTTTATGAGTATATCAAAATGCCATTTGGTTTGTCAAATTCTCCGGCAACTTACCAACGTGTCATGGAAGAGTGTTTGGGTGACTTGAATATGAAGATTTGCATCATTTACTTAGATGACCTAATTATTTTCAGCAAGGATTTCAAACAACATCTAGAAAGACTTGACATTGTTTTGACCAGACTCAAAGAATGTAATTTGAAATTATCAGCCGATAAGTGTTTCTTCATCAAATCAAAAGTTAAATTTCTTGGACATGTGGTTGGAAAACATGGAGTGGAAACTGACCCAGATAAAGTAGAGAAGGTAAAGAATTGGCCAACTCCAAAAGATGCAGATTCCCTGAGATCATTCATAGCATTTGTAGGATATTACAGAAAGTTTATTAGGAATTTTTCAAAGATTGCAAAGCCGCTTACTGATCTGTTACCTCCAACATCTACAAAAAAAGGGAAAATTAAAGCACAAGAGCCATGGAATTGGGGACCAGAACAAGAAACTGTTTTTAATCAACTCAAAGAAACTTTGATGTCACCTCCAATACTTGCCTATCCAAATTTTCAATTGCCATTTGAACTTCACATCGATGCCTCGACACAAGGATTAGGAGCAATACTGTACCAAGACCAGGATGGAACAAAGAGAGTAATAGCATATGCAAGCAGAAGTTTAAGTAGATCGGAAAAGAACTATTCAGCGTTCAAGTTGGAATTTCTTGCGCTTAAGTGGGCCGTAACGGACAAATTTTCTGATTATTTACTGCTGAACAAATTTATTGTTTACACAGACAACAATCCTCTCACTCATATCCTAACGTCAGCAAAATTAGATGCCACTGGCCAGCGGTGGGCTTCTGCTCTTGGAGAGTACAACTTCGACATTGTATACAGAGCAGGCCTAAAAAATGGAGATGCGGACGGAATGTCAAGATACCCCTATCAAGAAATATCAGATGATCAAGTATGTGTTAAAGATCAGACAATAAAGGCTGTCTGTTCAAGCCTGAATTGTACACCTTTAAACATCATAGAAGTAACAGACTCTCCCAGCTTACCCTTGGCTCAAATTGAAATTCGAGAATTGAGAAAAAGTCAAAGAGAGGATCCCCTTATTGGTAAATGGATAAAAGCAGTTGTGGATAAACAGTTACCTCATAAGAAAATATGTAACTCTAAAAGTGACATCTCCATGAAAAAGAATTTCCAACATTTCCTGATGATCAGAGGCATTCTTTACAGAGAAACCATTGATAATTTGACACAAGCTAAAGTTAAACAGTTAGTTTTACCTGAAAAATACAAGATGGACGTTTTAAGAGGACTACACACAGAAGTTGGACATCCGAGTAAAGACAGAACACTTTCATTAATACGAGAAAGATTTTTTTGGCCTGGTGTATACACTGATGTGGAAAAATATGTAGGATCATGTGACAGTGTTTGAGAAGAAAATCACCAACAAACAGTAGAGCACCTTTAAATAGTATTGAATCAACATATCCTTTAGAGTTAGTTTGTATGGACTTCTTGACAGTGGATCCATGTAAAGGTGGATATGGGAACATCTTGGTAATTACGGACCACTACAAAAATATGCATTGGCAATACCAACTCATAACCAAACAGCTAAAACAACGGCAGAGGCTTTGTATAACAACTTTATCGTAAACTATGGCGTACCATCAAGAATCCATTCAGATCAGGGAAGAAACTTTGAATCTAATATTATAGCAGAATTGTGCAAGTTATTCAATATAGACAAGTCAAGAACTACTCCTTACCACGCCATGGGCAATGGAATTTCCGAAAGATACAATAGAACACTTCTAGACATGTTAGGCACCTTACAACTAGATCAAAAAACCCCCAGTTGGAAAAAATCCCTCCCGTTATTTTTTCCCATAAAACAGTATAAGCATGAGCCCAAACAAATTTTTACCCCTTTTGGTTTTAAATGGGGGGAAAAAAGGAAAAAAAAAGGTTCCCTATAGATTTTTCTTTTTGAAAAAACCCACAAATAAAAGTTTTTAGCGATTTTTGGGCCAGTTTAAAAAACCATATGTAGGGAATTAAAGGGAAAAAGAAAAAAAAACCCAACACAAAAAGGGCATTTAAAAAAAGGGTTTTTCTGCCAAAGGCGCGACCCAAAAAAAGAAATTTTTAGGGATTCGAAAGGGCAAAGGCAGAAAATTAAAGTTTGGAGAACTGTTCTGGTAAGAAACCCTAGCTTTGAAGGAAAACAAAAAATTTTGAAGACAAAAAAGGAAAGGGAAAGTTTGAAAGAAAAATTGGGCCCCCCCAAAACCCTGATATACCTGTATTTGATGTAAAATCAGAAGATGGTAGTGTAAGAAGACTACATCGTAATCATTTTTATCCATTAGAGTTTCTGGAGAATGAACCAGTTTCTGAATCAAATAATGGAGAAGCCATGATTTATGATACTAGGGTCATAGAGAAGAAAAATATGGAAGATAAAAGAGAATGTTTAAATGATGTCGACATCAATGACGAAGAAGACAGTAGTGGAGATGAGATTGTATTACATACATTCAAATCTGGGGACGCCTGGACTCCAAGTACTTACAGTAAAAAATGGACAAGTTTACCAAAAAAGAAGACTACAGGTGATGAGAAAAGTGAGGATATAACTAAGAAGAAAGTAAACACAGAAAAAGATCTAGAAAGAAAAGATAAAGATGAATCTCAAAGCAGTCACACTGACAGCAAGAGTAAAGATTTAGAGACAGAATTAGATTTATGTGAAGAAATAGATTTAACCCAGGAAGATGAAAGTTTTGAGAACAGTCTTAAAAATACAGGTATCAACACACAAGGAGAAAGTGAAATTAAAGATTCAGGGCCAAGAAAATCAGAAAGGGTACGAAAAAAGCCGAAATGGATGTCAGATTTTCAAACATATCAGATGACCACAAGATCTGTTGATTCCAGACTGAAAGCTCTACAAAGCTTGTTTAATTCAGGCATTTTGGATGACATGAGCACAGAAATTGCAGAAAATATGGTCAGTTCTGTATGGAAACACTAAATCTTGGATGTTTTTAGTTATGTGTAAAAAATTGTTTTTAGTATTAATCTTTATGTGCCTTATATTGTATGTTTTATATTGCAGGAATGCAATTTTTGAAAGTGGGGAGGAAAAAGGAAGTATATTAAACATCTCTTCATTTTTTTTTCAGAGACCAGAATATCCAGGAAAGTGCTTTATTAACAAATGAGTCTTGTTTTTCAGAGTGTAGCCACAATTTGTTGGGAAAAGAATTATATTTGATAAAAAACTGAGTATTGTATTTAATATTGTAATACAATTTCTTTATTACAGTTTTTATGTGGTTAAATTTATTTTATTCCACAGGGATATGTGTGCTGAAGTTACCTGCTATAATCATGATTTTATATCTGGGTGACCTTTATTGCCTTAAGGTGGTTCAGGCGTTTCTGATATTAAGGTGGTTCAGATAGTTCGGTTATTAAGGTGGTGTAACCATTATTTTTGGAAAATGACAGGTGTCATTTTAAACAGGCCAGGGGAGAATGTAACAAGGTGTATTTTTCGGGTAATCTGTGTTTTGAGATGTTCCCTAGCTTTCCTGTGTTTTTATCCATATTGTTTATGTAAGAGTGCTTTCCCCTTGACTTTGGCGGGAATTTGTACGTGTCTCGTGAATCTCGTTTTCATTTCGTTCAGTGCGTTGGTTGGTAGCCATTGAGAGAGGAAGGTCTCTCTGTTCAGAAGTTGTGATGTTTTTTACACTTTAACATGTTTCTTTTTGGTTGGAAACAGTTCATCTTTGTATAAGGTAACTATTGCAATGGCTGAAGTAATTTATTAAAGAATTATTCTTTGTTATTTTGGCTAAGTAATGTACATGTTTCATTTCGAAGATAAATCCAAGATGGCTACTACTTTCAACTTTTAATCCTAATTATGCTATCTTTTACTTATCTCAACTAATTTGCATGTGTATAATAATTAATGCATTGTTCTTCACAGCAGCACTCGGTGAGATTCATTTGTGTGGATTTGTGTGGATGATGGCGTATATCTTATTTGTGTAAAAGGGCTAAAGATCCTACAGATCTGTAAGTTGATATTTTATTGTCTATGAGAGTAATGTTTTATATATATTAGGTACTTTGATGAATTATTGAATTCTAATAACTTTTGCATTGTTACAACTAAGTGTAAGCACAGGGACCACTGTATCATTGAGTAATGGACTGCTATAATTAAGAACTATGAACTTAGCTATGAACTATGTTATTGATATAATTGGAGATGTATAAATAGCTGTGGATTTGAACCATGAGTTAGTTTGGGTATTTTACCTACTCCAGGTAAAATGTATATTTATTATGAATGATATAAAAGAGAGATAACTCTTTATATGACTTATAAGAATCTCCAATCATTTGGTAAGGATTGTTACTATTTACTATTTCAGTGCCTACCTTGTTCACATGCTTATATGATTACGTAGACTGATGGTTGGTAACTTGGTTTACAAGATGTACCGGTATACTTTGTGAATATGTCAGATGAACTGTTGTAAATAATGTAAAGATTTGGTTTGTCAATAAACTACATATGATCGAACCTGAAGAGAAGATTTTGTATATATTGATACCCCTGAAGAGATATCCCAAAATTACATTAATAATAAATATTCACAATTACACATAAAACACTGAAAAAGCAGCACAAATATTTTCTTTTTAGTATTTGGCAAAGAAATAGGATTCCTTTTATTAATGTATATATATAAGATTTATCGTAAAAAAAAACTCAATAAAAAGCAATATTTATGATTGAATACTCATATTGTACTTCTGTAAAATTTAATGCTGTATTTGATAACACAAATAATCATCAGACACCCCCATCAATAATTTCCACACCATTAAGTACCTTTATATATCATTATAGGCTGCTTCATATATTTCTGCATATTCTGAATGATTTCGCCGCCTGAAATATTGGTACGAGTCTGACATTAGTAGAATTGCGTAGCCCTTTCTCAAGTAGTAAATTTGTGAGATTGTTATAATCTGCTGTCCAGTGGAATTCAAATGTCCTAGTACTGGGCATAACTTTTTTTAGACGCTTTATCCAACGTCAAAATGTGTTACAGCTAAAACCCTTCGCGCCATGTTAATTTCAACTATCTAGTTTATTATAATTACAACATATATTCTTTACTGAAATCAAAGAAGCATTAGTCTTTAATTGTTGAGTACAATTATTCTTTGTATACACATTATGTTCATAAAGTCATCACATGTTACATATATTTAACAATAACAAACTGCAAACACTAGATGATAAATGTTAAGTAATATACATGTCGATTAATATTTGAGAAAAATGGCATCCGCAAAGTCTTTAAATAAAATATCATGGGTTTTAGTAAGTGTTTTCATTAACAGTTCAAGCATGCATCTGAAGCAAAATCTCCTCTGAAAAAGGTGCAATGCTGAAAAACAAAACGTAAACTTAAGAACTTATAATTGATCCGAATATTTATGTGCAATAATGATGGTCTTGCAAATTTGATTTCTTTCTCGTCTCGTTCTTATGTTTTAAATACTTAATACAAAAAAAATGTTGCCACTTCCTTGTTCAGACGAAACATAAAATTGTATAATCAGTCTGATTTCTAGCATACGTTACTGCAAGGAATAGTGCCAGAGGATGTATTAAATCTATGGTATTATCACAAACTATATGATCACAACTCTGTTTTCACAGCCAAACGGATGTGCCAGACATTTCATATGTAACTAAATATTGAAATGTTTATTGACTTACCAGATAGCGTAATTGAAATCATAAAGCACAATGTTTATCGGGGATTTTTCAAAAGATCTTTCGTTATAAGTATCTAAGGGGTTTATCAAATTCACAATGAGGAATATTAGAATTTGTAGACATAACGGAGACTATGCACGACAAGACCACAGACACTTGGGGTTTGGAGCTCAAATCGCCTTTAAAATCCAAATAAAATGCATATTTGTCAATCCCAGCACATGTACTGATCATATATATCAAAAAAAACTTAATATAAGCCGTTTTGAAAAAAATTCATATTTCAACATCTATAATAATACACAAGATAAAAATGTTCGCCGGAAAACATCCGCACCCCTACCGTCATAATCACCATGTATTTTATTCCATTTCCAATATTTTCACATAATCCTTTGGTCCATCGACACAGAAGATATAATTCTTCACGATGATGGTCAATTTTAAACTTCAACGGTAATATAAACAACGCAACAGCCGAAATAAACATCAATATTATCGCCGTTTTTTTTTTCAACGACAAAATGTTTCGATAAATTCAATGGACCAGACGGCTATGAACGAAGCTATCCGATTATGTGGCCCCAGCTTTGCCGTGTGCAAAATGCGCAGCACTTTTAAGTTTGGGAACCACATAATCGGATAGCTTCGTTCATAGCCGTCTGGTCCATTGAATTTATCGAAAGATTTTGTAGTTGAAAAAAAACGGCGATAATATTGATGTTTATTTCGGCTGTTGCGTTGTTTATATTACCGTTGAAGTTTAAAATTGACCATCATCGTGAAGAATTATATCTTCTGTGTCGATGGACCAAAGGATTATGTGAAAATATTGGAAATGGAATAAAATACATGGTGATTATGACGGTAGGGGTGCGGATTTTTTCCGGCGAACATTTTTATCTTGTGTATTATTATAGTTGTTGAAATATGATTTTTTTTCAAAACGGCATATATTAAGATTTTTTGATATATATGATCAGTACATGTCCTGGGATTGACAAATATGCATTTTATTTGGATTTTAAAGGCGTTTTGAGCTCCAAACCCCAAGTGTCTGTGGACAAGACGTATATTTTCAATGATAGGAAAATTTTCCTGTTTTAATATGTTTGTAATATGTTTTTGCAATAAAGTCGAACCAAATCTCAGACTTGTCATTGGAAACCAGAAGTAACACGCGGTTTGTTGTTGTTGTTGTTGTTTAGTTTAGTTTATTTTTTGGCTTTGTGACATATATTTTCATGTTATTAAGTCAATTACATTATTTCAGAAATTTCATATAATATTATAGGCATTATCTGAGTATATTTATGCAATAGTTTGGATAGATATAAAAATTAAAAAACATCTTTTATCAGAAATATTTTTATAATACATAAACTGTTTTCACCGTGGCATTATTTGATTTAACAAACGATACATGTACACAAATGTTTAGTTTAGATGTCATAGGCTTTAGACATAATTCATGTGCTAATTGCTGATATGATTATCATTGATTTTCATTTCATAAACGGTTTGATTTTAGCTGCCTGTATGTAAAAATACTTAATCGGGTGTAAATGTTCACGGATTTGTTTCAAATATGAAGTGTTTGTAGAGTTTTGTATAATCATTTTCCAAGTAGAATAGTATTAATGAAGTGCAATGAGGATAGTTAAGTGGCCTATTTTACCTATTGTTTCAGCATGATAATAAAAAACAATGCATTTATAGGGCAGTTTATTTGCTAACTTATGCAAATATATTTCCATAAAATGTCTTTCAATACAATTTATATCCGGCTCCATTCTTTGTTATGCCACAATTTCAATTTTATATTGAATATGTGGGACATAAAATATAACTTATTTAAAAAAAGTGCATAATGATGTCTTTATTTCCCATGATATTTCTTATTCTGTCAAACAGTGTCACTCGTCAAAGTCAGTATTACTTAACTGCCTTAAAACCATTAAAATTCCCTTAGGTTCCCTCGTACGCAGTGTCATTAAATTTTCATAAATGTTTCCAACCTAAACGAAACCACTGTCTATCAAGTATGAGAAGTCTGTTCCTTAAGAACGTTCAAAGAAATAATCGAAATTTTTATTACATTGTATTAGAATATGATAAATGATAAATGATAAATAATAATATGATGTATTAGATCTCTTTTTGTGAACGGATAACTCGAAAATGTTATTAACCATCCATGGGAAGAAAAGGTAAATAATTATATAATTAATCCAATAATCCAATACATTAACAATTAAACATTTTTTCCATTGTACCGTTTGCTTCCCGGGCGTCGTGACTGAGTGGTTAATGTTGTTACTGTCAACCATTTGTCCATCTGTTCAAATCCAATCGAGTAGAATTCCGACTAGCTTACAGAAAGTCGGTGGTTCTAATCAGGTGCTTCAATCAATATAGAATGATCTTGAAAGTGTGGATGTGACTTTACACTAAACAAACTAAATTTGAATGGTTAAGGTTGTTAATGTCGAACCATTTGCCCATCCCCGCTATTCGATCTAGTCGAAGAGGATTCCGACTAGCTTATGGAAAGTAGATGGTTCTATTCAGGTGCTTGAAAATACTTTAAATAATGCACGTGGGGCATCAGAGATCTTCTTCAACCAATAAGGAAGTATGACCTTTAGAATGTGACTTTACATTAAACATACTAAACATAATCAATATAGTGGCATGGCTTTCCCATCGGTCTAACGATAGCTGTTAAGCGTAAGGGACACCCTTTTGAAGGTTGCTCCATGTTCAAATATTTTCAAATTTTGACAACACTTAACACAAAGCTGTGATAGCTTCGCGGTTTTCACATGTTTATCTTTTGTTTTATTAAAATATTTATTACATAGCACGTGTCTCAAAAACATAGTGCTCCACATATGCATCTCTGTATACGTTAAAGCACTGCGCGCTTTCGACAATTAATTTAAGAAAATTTTTTTTAATGCATAAACACAATTTCACAAACGCAGAATTTGTCTTCTTTCAAAGTGCTTACTTCTATCTCATATACGTCAAAGGTTCTTAAAAGTTGGATCAGATCAATTACCTATAAATCGGTCACTACTTCAAAGATTTTATTTAAAAAAAACAATGTCCTAAATGATGCCATTGCAAAACTAGATAACGTGTCGGGAACAAATCAAGTTATATCTGTACTTCTTGAAATGTAACTAAAGATTGTACATCATCAAGTTTATAAAATACTGTCTGCAAAAAAGAGATAGAGACTATCCATAAAATTTAGATTGAAAGTTGAAATCCCTGGTGTAGCTTTAAGTTTATAGCATCCGATGTTAGCCAAAATCATAATTCCTGTTCCAGAGTCATAGACCTTAACTGTGTCGGTACGCAGTAAAGACAAACAAACTTAAAAAGCAGCACTTACCATTATTCCAGTATAAAGCATAAACGCATGATTTTTTTATACAAATCAAACCTTGAAACGATCTATGATTTTATACTCAAAGTGAACTACTGAATGCATATGACAACACTTTATATAATGATTGATATTTAATTCTACCATGAAATGACTACAATACTATATGTTGTAATTGATAACGAAAATCATTGTCAGACATCACAAACCATCAAGTATCTTAACACCGCTTAGTTTTATCATGATAGATCATTATAACTTTTCTGCATATTTTGAATGATATATTATTATGAATCTTACATTTAGTCAAATCGCAATAGCAAATTTGTGAGAGCGTCATATCTGCTGTTCCCGGGTTTCAAATTTTCTAGAACTGGTTTTGTATCTTCTTTTATCTGACGA